CTGTTGCCACGCATTGAAATGTCACCCCTGCCAGGCTTGGAGGCTGAGGCAGGAGGATCGTTGCGAGTTCGAGACCAGCCTGGGCTACAAAGTGAGCTCAAGGCCAGCCTGAAGTGCAGAGCGGGACTCTCTCTCAAAAAGACAAACAAAAAAGTGGGCGGCCCTTCTGGATGTGGTCACGGGGCTCAGCTTTCTATTCTGTTTGGTTCTGGTTTCCCTGTTCCAGGGCCGTGTGCCGCCGTCGCCATGGACACCAAGTGTGACACAACCCTGCCCCGGGTGGGTGTTTTTCACCGCATGTAAGGTTGGTTCTGCATCGAAGTCCTTACCTCACTCAGGGTTTTATGGAAGTCAGTAGTTTTTACTGACAGAAGCAAAGTAATAATCTTTTATTTCTTTTTGTGCTTTTTGAGATGGGGGTCTCACTGTGGAGCCAGGCTTTCCTTGAACTTGCAGCTCTCCTCCTGCCTCAGCCTCTGAGTGCGGGGACGACAGGTGGGCGCCCGTGCCTGGCGACAATTACAATGTTTAGAGAGCAGACGGCTGGGACCTTTCAGGCACAGCAGCCTGACAGGAAGCTGTCGGCAGTGCCCCTCTGTTGGAAGCAGCCTCACCCCTAGCTCTGTAGTAAACTCTTGCTCATCCTACAAAACCCAGCTCCGATGGCCCTACCTGTGCACCACCCTCTCCAACCTCCTGGGAAAGCCTCGCTGCGCCTCTGGCCCCTCCGGCCCCTCCCTCTGGGTTTGGCACGGGTCAGCGAGGGAAGGGGATGAGACGCCTTTGGTGGTGATGATGCCCAGGCGGGGGCAGCACAGCCGGGGCTGAGAGGGCTGAGAGGGCCGAGGGCAGAGGGGCACGGAGCCTGGGGACCCTGGGACTTGGGCCGGGGGCGTGGCTGTCACGCGTGTCTGAGCAGCGCCCCCGAGTCCGGTGCGGTCTGCGTGGCCGTGTCCGGTGTGTGACGGTGCGGAGTCCCTGCGCTCTGTGTCTGGTGGCTTGCGGGCTGCGGCCCACGGACGTGCACCCTGGGGTGGCCCCCCTGCCTCCCCCGGTGCCAGGGGGTGACTAAAACGCTTGCTGTTTTTTCCTCTTTTTTTGTCTTTTTGAGACAGGGTCTCACTGTGCAGTTCAGGCTGGCCTTGAGCTCACTTTGTAGCCCAGGCTGATCTCAAGCTCACAACGATCCTCCTGCCTCAGCCTCCTGAGTGCTGGGATTACAGGCGTGCGCCACCACGCCCAGCTAAGGCTTGCTTTCTTCTTTCGCTGTTTATAATTTTTTCCCTCAGTGCTGGGATTGAATCCAGGGCCACCACACTGAGCTACATCCCCAGGCCTTTTTAAACATTTTTTACATTTTGAGACTGAGTCTAAGTAGCCCAGGCTGGGTTTGAACTTGGAATCCTCCTGCCTCAGCCTCCCAGAATGCCATGAGGACAGGGGCGAGCCTTCACGTGGCGACGTGAGCTCGTCTCCTGCCCCCATTCCCGGGTCGCAGAGCTGTGTGCCGTCTGTCTGGCCCACTTGTGTCCGTCCCGAGAGCAGAACCTGGTACGCGGGCAGCGCTCAGTGAGACCCGTGCGCCCCCTGGTGGCCGCGCGCGCTCAGCGCCGTTCC